TAAGATTGTGAAACTAATATTGTACCTTTTCTAATACCTGTTTTAAATAAATCTTATAGTAGGATTAAACTGGGTGTATGTTCACCTCGCACCTCTCACCCTAAATAAATTAAAATCCCTACATATATATATATTATATAATGAAAATAGATAGGGTAGGTATATTCAATCCCTTGCAAAGTTCAAGGGCTTGATCGTAATCCTTTAAACACACAAAAACTCTTCAAATTGTATTCGACTAGTTTGAAATTTCTTGAAGAGTTTATTTGGACGAAGTTTAATAAAATCAAACTTTTCTTTCCGTATGGAATTGTGTTTCATAAAATGAAGAAGATACAACTTTACGAAATAAAGAAATAAATCTATAACTATCAAAAAAGGGATGGATCTTATTTGTTAGTCGGTTGAATCGTATCCATTCCCTATGCTCAATTTTGATCGGCTCGTTCGAAGAGAACATCGACGAAATTAACATAACAATTGTGGCAAAAGTAAAAAAAAAAAAAAAAAAACTACTCTGTTGGAAGGAAAAATATTTCTTTTTCTGTTAGAATATCAATGACGGATATTCGGATTCGTTACCGAATGTTAAATAAAATGAACATGTTTATAACTTAATCTTTTGGAAATGAACAAACGAAAAGGACTAATGAGATTACAACAGACAAACAGAGATTTGCATGAGCAATAAATCAATGTATTTTATCGAGCTATTATATAAATATGAATCTACTTATTATTCTTGAAAATAAATATTACGTTAAACGAAGGAAAAAGAGGAAATATTATTTCACGATAGATTTTTTGGTTTTTTTTTTATTTTTTTTGGGGGGGGGGGAAGGAACAGGAACAGGAACAGGAACAGGAGAACGGACAGGAATGGTAGAAAAATCTTTTACTCAATTCAGGCAGAATAGAAAATCCGATTTAACGTCGATAACTATAATCCCGTAGGTTGCAATAATCCATAAGCAGTTTCGGTTTCCTTGATCCGACGAACCAACTCGAAAATCGAGAACGGAGTTTAGCGAACGAACGGTATGGCGACGACGAGAGAATCGATCGATTCTCGACAGACCGATAATACGATTACAAATTACGGGCCGTTTAAGCGCGTCAGCGACAAAACTGACCAATCAGCGTCCCTATTGTCATCACGTCGTATTCGTTCTCTTTCTCTCTCGTCTGGGTGAATGCTGCTACTACTCCTCCCTGAATCCTTCCACCTTTTACCTACTTTTCCGCGATAATTTTTAAATACAAAAATACGTTATTTACGAATCGACTTCATTTTTTTACTCTCTCTTTCTCTTTCTCTCTCTCTCTCTCAATTAATCTTTTTCATACGGATTATTCTAAATTATTAAATTAATTCCGTTCGATAAAGAGTTAACGGTATATAAAACAATATCAAAATATACAAAATACAAAGTAAATAAATTCTCGATTCATTTATTATCCTCTTTCTTTTTCTCCCTTTATTTTTTTCTTTTTTTGCTTTCTTTAATCGACAGATGAGAATTCAATTATCGAATCTATAATTAAATTGTTTATCATCTATGCAAGAGTACAGTTGCTATATCAAAAGTATAATATCCATTGAATAAACATATAGATATATTGTACACGATAAAGATACACTCTCTAAACTCAATGGAAAGGCGATAGGAGAAATTGTTGGTTGGTACATCTGTTGTCCTAACCGGTGAGTCCGCGTGTATATCAAGTTGAGAATATCGTAGGAAAGCTCATCGACCGAATGTAAGCATCGAGAACAACGCACAGCGTCTATAGTTTCCTCTTGTTTGTTCGCTACTCGGATTTCGGTATACGGATTAGTATAGCGAACTTCATAATGGATTAACGCGGAGAGAGATTAAATACTTTACCACTGAAACAAAATAGATCTATGGAGAAACGGAGAGAGAGAGAGAAAGAGAGAGATAGAGAGAGAGAAAGAAAATAATGATGCATATACAACATGATATGAATTACTCTAAATATTTTCAAATAGTATTTTAAATATTTTAGATAGCATGGAAAATTTCATAATTTTATTGTGATTGAAAATAATACAATTCAGTAATAATGGTTAATAAAGAAATAATATAATATATATATACTAACATTTTAAAATATCTAAGTAACTAAACAAATAGGAAGTTATTATTGATGTAATTACTTCCGCCATTCTATTACATCCTTCAACTTTTCCCATTTCATCTGGTATATCTCCTTTCTTATCGAATAATCTCATTCTCTATCTCTCTTTCTTTCTAACTTTATTTCTTTCTCTCTTCCTTTATTCCGATTCTTCGAAAATGACGTTCGCCGGAAAACGATCTTAAAAACGAAAGAAGGAAAGAAGTTGGTCTCTCTCTCTTCCTACGTTACGTCCCATCAACATTAGTAACTTTTCTTAGATTTCTTTGTTCAACCGATTCCATTCCCATTTTTGCTCATTCCGTCAGAGTTCTCTCAGAGGTCGTTCTTTTGCTAAAGAAACTATCGCGATGACAGTAGACGGCTTTGAAATCAAGCTAAGGTCTTGTGAAATGATATCATCGTAAAACGAACTAGCGAGAGAAAGAGAAGAAGCTAATTTCAGGAACATGCTTGATTGAACGTCTCTCCCTCTCTCTCTCTCTCTTTCTTTCTCTTTTTAACATATATAACCTTCACCCTATTTCCTTCCTTTCTTCCTTCCGTTTTTCCCTTTCCTTTCACCATGATCTGTATGCACCATCCAACGTGAATTTATATAAGAAAACGAGCTACCCTCTGATCATGCGTGACTTCATACGCAAAGATCCATTTCATGAATACGATTATCTTTCACGATGATAACGTCAACGATATAAATTTTTATCTTACGCTCATCTCTTCTTATTTTTTACAATTTTACAATGGAAATTACAATTTAAGAATTATTTATTATTATTCTCTAACGTAAACCGCTATTGTTTTAATCCCAATAAGATGATACGTATCTGTTTAAAGAAAAAAAAAAACATATTTTTTTTACAAAGGATGATCGCGTGTTTAAATTCAAATACTACTTTTCGATTCTAATTTTGATCCTTCCTTCTGCAAAGAGAGAGAGAAAAAAAATAATAAAAAAAATAAGAAGGAAAGAACGGTAAAATTTTCTTGGAAAAAAAATAAAAAAAAAAATAAAAAAGAGAGAGAGAGAGAAAAACGATCGCAAATATTTGTCGGTTTGTTTGAAACCGGCAAAGAGAATATACCCAAACCATTTGGTGGCTAGTAACTAGAAACTTTCACCATCTACCCCCCTTTTCTAGGCTAACTTGCACGCATTCGTACGTGACTTGCATCAAGGGTATATTTAGTTAACATATATGTGTTCACGTGACAAAGTTGACGTGGTAGGTAAGGTTTGAAAAATCGTATGGATGCGTGAGTACAGGTATATATATATATAGGTATAGGTATATGTATATGAATGACTGTACCTTCTGGGTGAGCAGGTATTCATCGTCGGTCATACACCACCAGGAGAAGACGATCGCGAAAGCGGTGCTGCAACCCTGAACGAGAGGCACAACGCCAAGTACCTTCAGGTGGTACGTCAAAATGCGGACATCATACGCGGACAGTTCTTCGGGCACTGGCACTCTGACACGTTTCGTGTCATCTACAGTGACACTGGTACGCTTTAAAAAAAAAAAAAAAAGAAATGGGAACGCGCTTTCTTTTTCATTTTTCTTCCTTTTTTTTTTCGTTTTCTTCTCATTTTATTTTTCTTTTCTCACCTCGAAATCCCGGAATGGGGCTCATTAGCAGCGACGTCCAAATTTATGCTAATTAATATTCACTGCCTTTTCTTCCCTAAAGATTATTCTACAAATGTTTCCTAATATTCTCGTTACGTATTTGTTCTTTTGTCTAATATATCATTATAGTTGAATTATTTTGACGCGAATGTGTTATGAATCAAATAGGAAATCCAGTTTCTTGGATAATGATTGCACCGAGTATAACGCCAAATGCACCGGGTGGACCTAACAATCCAGGATTAAGACTATACAAATTTGAAACTGGTACAGGACAAGTGAGTAAATGAATTTCAGGATGAAGGAGACTCTTTAAAAAAAAAATAATAATAATAACAACAAAAAGAAGAATCTATATATCGATTATCGGAAATATTTTCGTTATTGTTCACAGGTTCTAGATTATAAGCAGTATTATCTAGATTTAATGGAGGCAAATAAGCAAGGCTCGGCAAATTGGAAAGTCGAGTATGCACTCTTAGATTATTACGATCTGAAAGAGATAACCGCGATCAGCCTGCATGATCTTGCAGATCGATTCACGCAATCCAGCGACTATGCTTTCGTAAGGTACGTAATTAACTACTAACTTTTTACAAAAAAAAAAAAAAAAAAAAAAAACAGAAAAAAAAGAAGAAAAAATGTTGAATAAAATTAAAAGTTAATTAACTTTTTTAAATCGCTTGAAAACGTCAACAAAATTAGATTAATTGGATTATTGGATAAAAATATCCCGTGTGCTTGAATTACATTTTGTTTTTCCATCGATTGATTCCACATAATTTTATCGTGGATTAATTATAACATCAAACAAAGATGAAATTAATATTTCTCTGTATCGTGGCAATATAATTATTACTCAATTACAATTGTAAATTTTCATATAGCACAGTAGAAAAGTACAATTATAATAATCATATTAGAAACACCTTTCATTTTCATTGTACTTACGTATAAAATTAACAGCTGGCATTAATTAGTTTCCGCGAAATCGTTAAAACGTAATGTGCCCGACAAAATGAGTAAAAGGAAAAAGAGAAAGATAGAAAGCAGGCAGGCAGGCAGGAAGTTTTGAGTCTCAAACTAGCACGATATTACAATTTGACGGTTGCGTGAGATATTTCGTATCACGATGAATCGACCTACTATTAATAATTCCCATACTTCTCTACGCAATTATCCGCGATAATAATTTCAGGCAAGTAGAGCAGATAACTGTCTGCCCTTTTCGAGCCAATCGCACCATTACGATGCTAATGGTCGTCCGGATACGGTCGATCGAAATCAACACATACACACATATACATTTCATGTATTTTAGTAATATACCATTTATCATTTATGTACGCGTATGTATATGAATCTATGAGTACGGATGAACAACTAAAAATTTAAACGAGTTCTTAAACCAAAAGATAATATCTTCCGACAAAAAGGTAAATACGTAACGAATGAAAAACTCGTGTTGGGTTGACCGACGATCTGTCAAAAGTACGGAAATGTTTGATATTCCAAAGCACGGTTCTCTAAACGAACGTGACAAACATTTTTATCGATGCTCATCTCGACCACCGCCGGATATATTCCTCGTATTTACTCTTTCCATGAGCCTTGAAATAACTATTACTATACCTACACCATTTACATGCAATTTTGCTTCGATCGCGAATAAACTTATGTTAGATTAGAATAATTAATCATAGCTGAAGTCTCTTTCCTGTAAGCTAAAGTGAATCAATAAATAATTACAAAAAAGAAAAAAGAAAACGATTTTCAACCGAGACAGATAAAAGCAAAAACGAGAGATAGAGAGAAAGATAAATACAGCAGGATAGTGAGTGAGAGAGAACTTGAGAAAGTTAGAAACAAACTTGTGACGAGCAAGAGCTATAATAAGTTCCCGAGAGAGCAGCTTTCAAGAAGTCAAATATTATCGGAAAGCGTACTTTTGTCAATCGACGTAGGATAAGTGAAACGGGAACACGAATTTCTACGGAATCGTCGGTATTAAATAAACGAAACGTTGAGTGAACGGAATACTCTCTAGAAAAAGAAAAACAAAATCCTATTATCGTAAAAACCTAAAAGAGACATTTTTCCGAATAGTCGTAGATATATGCTTGATAAATGAAATACATTCACAAAATTATTCGTAAATAAAGAAAAGAAAAAGAAAAAACAGAAAATATCTTATCATAAAAATGTCCAATACTTTTTGGATCGATCAGCCGATTTGATCGGAAATTCGAATGATACTTAACCGTTTGATGATTAATCGAAACCTTGCAAGCTTCCTACTTGCAAGTATATTCTCTTCTGTGCAGGTATTATGCAGCTAACACGGTGCATTTGCCGCGCGAAGTGGAATCGGTTTGGGGTTGCGGTGGTCCACTGAACGGAGCCTGTGCTTTGCATCATTATTGTACGGTAACTCGACTAAATGCAGAATTGTACGAGCAGTGTTACGCCTCTTACGCATTTCCATTGGCATCGAGAGGAATTTCTACAACGTATTTCAATCTGTCTATCATCAATAGCTTATTACTTCTCCTTATGTTCTTCGTAAATCTTCAGCAAAATCGGTAGAATGCGATCAAGGAAGAACACCTTTCGTTGGAGCGGCTACGAACGAAGACAGCAGTCACCTAGGTCGCTTACACGAATCTACAGAGAAAGAGAGAGAGAGAGAGAGAGAGAAACAGACAGATATTCATACACACAGACACTTATACTACACACTCGTGAACACATTCACACATTTAAACGAACCATACATACGCAGAGAATACAAATACAGCTACGTTTCTTCTTTTAGTCATCGTGTGTCGTCCCCGAGAATCAGGGTCGAAGCGCCCGCACTCTCTTCGTCGAGATAAGTAAATCCTCGTTCTAGGATAGCCGACTATAATGGCGAACGTATCTCGACGTAAAGAACACCGCAAAGCGCGATCTCCTTTGTCTCCTTTCTTACTTTTTACCTATCTACCAACCTATACCTTACTTTCTTCTTTCTTTACTAACTTTATCTTTCCCTATCTCTATCTCTCATTCTTTTTTCTTTTTTCTTTTTTAACCTCATATAAACCTCTTTCCCATCTAAAATCTTTTTCTTTCTTCCCACATCGTACATGTGGGTACTCTCTTTCTCTTATTTCGAGAATCACATCGTATTCGTTGTTTTGTAGGATAAATGCGAATATCGTCGACCGAGATGATTGGAATCGTTGAAATTTTCTTACTCTTTCAATCTTTCCTACAGCTTCACTTTCTTCTTACATTTCTCCTTCCTCTCGCCTTTTTTTCTCCTTATTTTCTAACTTCGAATCGTGTTCGTGCCATCGGCAAAACGAGATTCCCATTTCCATTTTTACCCAACCTACCCCACACCTCCCAACCCACACCGCTACATTACAAGATCACGAATCGAACTCGAAATTTTCTCGGTCGACGTGACGCGGCTGCTGCTTTCCGAGATTTTCTGTTTGAACACCCCCTTTCTTAGACCTCTTCCTACCCTTTTTTTATTCTTTCTTTCTTTTTTCTACGACTATTTCTTACTCTTATTCTTTTTGTTACATTTAATACATCTTACAGTGTTCTTCGAATGGCCAGGACGTTGATCGAATGGATTTTTTTCAAACACGAATGACGAATGGATACTTTTGAATCTTTTCTTTTGGTGTTCTCAATTTTTGTTTGTTATTGTTTAATGTCGACGTTGTTATTTTTGTCCTTTTTTTCTAAAGGAGATAGGGCTTATGAGCGGAGTCGACGACTTGGAAATGTGACCACGTCGGAGTGCATAACTTAAAGAGCCATTATATTCGTACCACCATTTTGCGATTGTCGAAACGATGCAGTATTTCTTAATAAAGGATTCATGGATTTGTATGAAAAGTTTTCTTTCATTCGATCCTATCAATTTTTTTCCCCCCATTTCCAACGAAATCCTTCTCATTCGATTTTGTACGATTTTTCCGTCGATGTGGAAAAAACAAAACAAAACAAAAGAAAATAGTAAAAAAGCTACGAAAGAGAATCATTACAAGGGATGGGGGGACAAGGGGGAGAGAGAGGAAAACTGTAACGTTACAACGTTAATCGAATATAAATTGAATTTTCAAACGAATTGTACGAGCATCCTTTCCTAAAGTTATCCCGACCAATAATAACTGACGAAGAAATTAAAGAAAATTTACACTCAATCGACTGTATTTTACAAAATTACCTCGTTCAATTTCATTATCGTACAAATCGGTTTATTATTTCAATAACGTTCGATTATAATTAAAACATTGTCGAAAACAATAACTGTTGCCGCTACTGTTATTGATAAATGTATAAAAACAAATTCGAAAACGTTCGATCCTTTATAATCGTTATTAAAATAAAAGCCAACAAAATATCAATGCTAGATTTTGAAATGAAAGCTTAATAAATATAGCACGGAAATATGTAAACACAGGTGGAATATAACGAGACAGAACGGGTAAAATCTCAATTAATTTCATAGCCAGTATAGTTAGTACCAAGTGGAGTTCCTGAAACAAGCTCGGCTTCGAAATACCAGGTGACAACGGATATGAAGATAAGTTGTTCATTAACTCGAGGGGGTCATTTAGCGGAAAATGTGAGAATTTTGCTAGCTTAATGAGATTTCGAGTTTTCCATATGAAATCATAGTTTGAAAATGAAGATCGTAGTTACGTACTGAATTAAAATTGATCTAATCGAAATTGCCGATGTAAAAGAAATTTTGATTAAAAAAATTCTTTAACTTAAATCAAATATAATATTCGAACAAGATAAATATTTGACAAATCTTTTGTAAAGAGATTTTCCTATTCTTTTTCCTCGTTTATACAAGAACAAAAACAAAAAAAAGATACGGACAGAAAGAACGAGAAAGATTTTTGAGACCAAATTAGAACTTATTTAGCATAATAAATCTCGACGTTCTACGGACTTAATACAATGCTTCTGGCAGCAGGAAGCATGCGACCTTCCTCAGCTTTTTCTCTCTTTGTGGTTGGTCCCGTTGCTGTTGGTGCTGCTGTGCTGCTTTTGCCACTCTCTGTCTTCTGGAATTATCGTGTACAACATATCCTAGTCATAATATAGAACTATATATATGTGGAATAATCATAAGAGGGTAGGTGGATGATGGTTCTCAACTACGACGAGATTCAAAACACAATTTTATAAAAACAACTTTTCAAATAAACGTTATATCGATGAAACGTTCACCCTGTTTTTATCGCAATATATTTTTCACCATTTATTTTTTATATAACACTCTGGCAAGCAAGAAAGCTAAGGGATGGGAAAACTTTCAATAACGATATTAAACAAAATAGGAATATTTGCTGATCGATGTAGTCTTTATTTGAAAATATACTCCATTTTGATCAAGGAAACATCTTCTCCTCTTTCTCCTCCATCTCCTCCTACCTCCATCACGTAGATCACATATATAGAACGTGTATGTTTATCGCTTGTGGGCTTCATCAAAGTGGATGTTTACAGATCAAATGGAAGCAAGAGTACATACCTATATATATATATATATATATCACGTTTGATCGTGCGTGTATCGGCGATGCGTGCATCTTGTTTTTCCACAATATTATAGAAAAAGGAGGCTTTGTTTTTTATCAACTCTACCTATAATAATACATTCTCTAAGTTTTCTTCTTCCTACATACGAATTACAATATTTCACGAATAGATAAAACTATACATATGTATGTACGTATGTGCATATAATACTTAGAACGTTATCGAGCAAAACGTGATTCTTTTAAATAACTGAGTTATAAAATATGGAGAATAACAATTTCTTTCGTGATAACGGTTGCGCAAATAAAATACTATTTTTATTAGAAGAAAAATATATGAAAATAAAAAAATATGAAAAAAGAATTTTCTAATCTTTCCTTTATTCTTTTTTCCCCCTTCTAAAACTTGCAAAGCTCTTGAAAGAAAATGTTTTATGTAAGTATAAAATGGAATGTCGATGGTGCACATTAAGAAAGGATTCCTTCGAACGAATGATACGATTTAAATAAGATATATCTCTTTTTTTTCTTTCTCTCTGTCTGCAACATTCACTCTGTATTACGTATTTTACAATAATTTACATTATTGAAACAAATGAATGAAATCATATTATTTCTGATCCTTGTATTCTTGAAAAATTGTTCAAATTATTTACATTATCTACCATTTTTTACGATGCTTATAAAACTCAACTATATATTATTACATTGAAAATAAAAATAAAAATAATAATAAAAGTAAAAGTAAAAAAAGAAAAATAAAAAACAATTCTCTTCTCGTCGACGTTACGACGACAATTTTTATCATCTGCAAGGATATTATTATCGTTTGAACGTTATTGTTGAAAATCTTGTCGCGTAGAAATAGTTTTCCTCTATCACACAACCACGGTAATGTTACATCGTTGTATTCGTATTTTTCAGACGCGTCCTTTTTCTTCTCTTCTTTTCCGTTCGCTTTGCCCGTACCTTTTTAACCATTTTATTCTTTTTTTGAAAGCAAGCCGCAATGGAACTAGCGTGGTACGCGTATGCGAGTAGGTTCGTGATGACGTTATTCGCATGTTGCTCACGCAACTGGAAAAAGACCACGTACGAGGTATGCGCGTATCATCGAAGCTCGTTAAAACTGTACGATGTCGTAGGATTTTTATTGCACTTGAAAGTCTGACGAGAGAATATTGTTTTTCTTGTTTTTTTTTTTTTTTTTTTTTTTTTTATCATAAATATGCAACCTCTCACGACCCTGCCCCTCCCCCTCCCCCTTGTCCCAATGAAAATACTCTCTTAATGTTCTTCAAACGAAATACTGATTTATTATTTTTACAACATTTCATTGAAATACTTTGCACTGCACTGTTCCTATTCCTTTCTTTTTTTATTTTTATTTTTTTTTTATTTTTATTCACTTGTCGCTAATTAGAAAACACGAATTATTTTATTAAACGTTACTTCCAACTAGCGAACAACGTTTCTCGTAACGAGAAGATAGAAGAAAGGTAAAAGAAAGTAGATATCAATTAAGAAGACATCGTTCGTAAACTTAATTAGAACCGTCAAAATCGTTTGACAAATGAGCTACAAGTTTAACCGGCAAGGCTTGTTACCTAAGATCGATATAGTACACGGATCGAAGATAGTGACAATCTCAACACGCGTTCTATCCGCTAGTAGGTATAATCGGATTATTATGTCACGACTTATGCTCGTGCTTAGCTAACGGAAACGACTGCTACGACGTTGGTAGGTGGTTTGAAAAGCTTACCTCGTATTAACATCTTTCCGAGGGTGAAAGAGAATGTTTTTCTTTTGTCAGACCCCTTTGCAGAGCTTGAAAAAAAAAATGAAGTTGCGATAGACTACGGGCCTATGAAAATGTACGTTACGACTCCTGTTGCGCGTACCTACATCGCATATCTATGCATATGTGCGTATAGTAGGAATATATATGAGAAAGGAAAATAGAGAAATAGAGAGGGAAATGGGAGAGAGAGAGAAAGAGAAAAAGCAGCGAAAAAACGAAGCAGGGTTGAAACGCTTGTCAACATCGTCGGAGAATGAAGAATACATGGTTGCAATGCTAAGCTGGAAGGAAAGAGAATACGATCTTATACTCTCTGTGCACATGCTCTGACTCGCTCTTAAAACTCCCCTCTCCTTTTTCCTCCATTTTCGAACTTTTTTCCAGGGGTTGCCGGCCAGCCGACGTGTTGCGGTCGACGACTCTTTCTACATGCACGACGGACGTAACATCGCGAGTTTTTTTCCACCCTTCACATCCTCTTGGTCTTCTTCATTTCTCTCTCTCTCTTTCTCTCTCTCTCTCTCTTTCTCTCTCTCTCTTTCTCCCTCTCACGTTTTTTCTCATTCTATCTATTCTCGGGAAACATCGCGTTTTTCTTCAAACCACAAGAGCAGAATGCGATACGTACACACCTAACGAGCAGTGCGTATATATGTCAGTTAGTATTTGTAGAAACGTAGATGAAAATCAGTGGACGTTGTTGTTGGTGCGAAGTAAGAGCAACTACGAGGTAGAACTAGGAATGCCAGTAAGAGGTTTACACCGTGGCTGCTTACGCTACGCTGGATTTACGTTGCTTCGGTTTATGCTGTTTGAAAAAGTCCACCAACGTACGCTTCTTGCACCTTGTTGGATGTCATCTCTCTTTTTCTCTCTATCTCTATCTCTTCTTACTCTTTCTATTTCAAAACGACAATGTAAAATAGCAACGTTATATGTGTGAACGGTAGGAGGAATACGACTTGTTTTATGTATACGCCCTACTATTCGCGACGTTCTCTTAAACTTTCTTTTCCTTCGATCAACCTTCCTTATTTCTTTTTCCTTTTTTCTTTTTCTTTACCCCCCACCCCGCCCCGCCCCGCCCCGTTCCCTCATCTTCTTTATTCTTTCGGAGGAAACGACTTTGAGTATTGCACCACGACCGATTTCATTACGACGATAAAAAGAGATTCCTTTTGGTAATGTGTTCTAACGTCAACCGACTCCCTTTAAGAGAGAAAGACGAGAAAAAGATGAAGACGTTCGATCTCGTTGACTATCATTAAAGATTCGACACAACGATGGATTTTAAAGAAAGAAACGAACGAAAGAGTGTCTCGTATATTGGACACGAATCGTTTTAGGTAGATATCCCATCTTCGTTTGTGGTTTTTCCTTTACCCCTTTTAAACGAAAAAGAACAAGGGTTAGAAAGAAAGGGAGAGATTTGAAAGGTACCTATTTCTACTACGAACTCGATGACAAAGAAACCAGAACGACCGATATATCAGTGAAACCTATCCACTATCTTCGAATGCACTCAACGA